AAGAACAAAAACAGGAAAACACGGCTGCAGAAAACCAAACCTAGAAATAAAAGGTGATCTCTACATGTCAACCTTTATAAAACTTACAATGAGGCACATGTATTTCAGTTAAACACAGTTTTACAATCAACAAAAATGATGTTACTAAGATGAAAAAGCGTTTATTTAATGCTTGTATTTTAGCTCAGAAACGTAGAAAATTGAGAAACGAATGTGAGTGAAGCTTTTGCAACCATGAAAAGCAGCAGAAAATCTGATTGAATTAACAATGAAATGAAAAGAATGCTATAGCTTCCTTTCTATTAAATAAATCCGACATGTTTTAAACATCCATCCACTGTCTGAACCCGCTTTGTCCACGTGGGGTCGCTTTTGTGTGTGTGTGTGTGTGTGGGGGGGGGGGGGGGGGGGGGGGGGTCTGGTGCCTATCTCCAGCGGTCAATGGGCAATCAGGGGTACACCCTGGACAGAGAGCCAGTCCATCGCAGGGCAACACAGAGACACACAGGTCAAACAAACACACACACACACACACACACACACACACACACACACACACACACACACACACACACACACACACACACACACACACCTAAGGACAATTCAGACAGACCAATCAACCTAACAGTCATGTTTTTGGACTGTGGGAGGAAGCCGGAGTACCCGGAGAGAACCCACGCATGCACAAGGAGAACATGCTAACTCCATGCAGAAAGATCCCAGGTTGGGAAACGAACCCAGGGCCTTCTCGCTGCAAGGCAACAGCTCTAACCACTGCGCCGCCCATGTTTTAAACATGTGAAGTAAAAAAATCCCAAACAGAAACCTAAAGATTAACAAATGGTTTGCCACCTGCTAGCCCTCTTTGGCCGACCATGCAGGAGCAGCTGAGAAAACTTCTACATCAAAAGATGAAATGAACACTATCCAGTCAGAGCAGAAAAGGAACAACGTGGAGGTTGTGGGTGGATGGGGGCACGGTGTTTCCCAGTTCTGTTCACCAGCGTTTGACAGTTCTGCAGGTCTAATCCCAGGACACACACTACTGAGCCGTACAATCCAGTAAAATACCTGGAAAGAAAATAAGAAACACAAACACGAACATTTCTAGAAACCTTGTCTTATGACGACCAACAGGTGGCGATCTAATAAATCTTTAATGAAAATTTCACATTTAGTAGCTTTTTTTGTTTTTTTGCTCCGTTTGCCTTTCAGGTCATAATGAGAGGGAGACGTTTCTGTTTTGGCTCCAGTCCAATTGTCAAATCAAAATGACGTTTCAGGCTATTTTAAAAGAGAAACTAGAAAGGAGGAATCACACACTTTCAGTCAAGGTTTCAGCTTGAAAAACTGGAGTAAAACATCATCTGACGCTTCTGAAATGAAACGTTTTATTGTTGTTTTTGTTGTTCTTTGTGTCTGGGTCACGGGGGCTAACCCTAACCCTGACTGTTCCCAATGTGACAGAAACCCTCTAAACTGTCCTTGGTCAACACTGTAGGACAGGGGAATTCAATTCCAGGCCTGGAGGTCTGGTATCCAGCCCGTTTCAGTTTTAACTCTGCTCCAACACACCTGATTTCAATCAGCAGGTGATTAACAGGCTTTTGCAGAGCCTGATGAGCTGCTACACAGGTGAACCAAGTGTGTTGGATCAGAGGAACCACTAAAATGTGCTGGATACCGGACCTACAGCCCGGAATTGATTGAATTCTTCTGCCCTTGGAGGCAACCAGGAGGTATCCATCCTGTCGATCCACCCCGGTGAAATGTGGTGAGGTTCATGACTGGGGAGGCACTGACTGATCTGGAGTCGGATCTATTCTAAAGCCCTATTCCCATCACTGCAGATGCTTCCCCCATCTCCTGCTCTCTCCTTCTCCAACTTGTGAACACCCCCAAGTTAGTTAAGTTCCTCCAACTAAGGTAAGAGACAAGCCACCTCTTTCCGGTTGCCTACCCTGGTTTTGGACGTCCTGATCGTCGTCCCAGCCCCTTCACACTCACCTCTCGAATTACATCGTGGGGAGACTTCCGATCCATATTTTGGTGTTGGGAGTTTAACAACGGCAGTTTTAAACCTCCCTCACCCTCATCTCTTCTAATTTGACTAATACCCGTAGTTTTGGACGACGTTAACTGATGCCATTTCCTACTAAGTTACAACCAATGAGCACAAGTTGATCAAGATTTCCGCTCAGCTACTCTAGCAGGTCTTTTTGAGTACCCTGTTCAGGTACGCCATCGGTTCCTGAAAACAGCTCTTTTGGCTGACCAGGTGAAGGATACTTTCATTCTTGGGGCAGCAGTAGCTGAGGAGGTGGGTTGTCCAGTTATCAGAAGGTTGTAGGCTTGATCCCAGAGAGAATGGTGCTGCTGTGTCTTTGGGTAAGACAATTAGAAGAAGAAGAAGAAGAAGAAGAAGAAGAAGAAGAAGAAGAAGAAGAAGAAGAAGAAGAAGAAGAAGAAGAAGATATCATGTCTATAGCGCCTCTCAAGATAAAAATCACGAGGCGCTTCACAAAAACAAAAAATGTAAAAATAAAAAAAGAATTTAGAAAATTTTTAAAAATATATTTAAAATGAGCAAAAATAGACAGTTGTGATTAAAAAATGTTAAGAAAGAGAGAGAGTGAATAGGAAAGAGGGAAATCAGTGGATCCTGAGGAAGGTGGAATAGGTGGGGAGAGCAGAATAAAGAGAGAGAGGTGAAGAAGGTCATACAAAAGCCAGCTTGAACAAGTGAGTCTTCAGCTGCTTTTTAAAGGAGACCACTGAGTCCACTGATCTCAGGCTCAGGGGGAGAGAGTTCCAGAGTCTGGGGGCCACAGGAGCAAATGATCTGTCACCTTTGGTCTTTAGTCTGGTGCGCTGCACAACCAGTAGGCTTTGATTACTGGACCTCAGGGACCTGCCGGGGGTGTAGGGACTAAGAAGATCACCAATGTAAGATGGTGCTTGTCCATGTAAGGCCCTATAGACCAGAACCAGGATCTTGAAATGAACCCTGAAGTTGACTGGCAGCCAGTGAAGCTGGAGGAGAAGCGGGGTGATGTGGGTGTGTTTGGAGGACTTGGTCAGAAGCCGAGCACAGGCGTTCTGAACCACCTGTAGACGGTTCAGGGAGGTTCTGCTCAGACACGTGAAAAGAGAGTTACAGTAGTCTAAGCGTGAGGAGAAGAAGGTGTGGAGAACTGTCTCAAGTTCAGAGCGGGACAGAATGGGACTCAGCTTAGCAACGTTCCTGAGATGGAAGAAGGAAGAGCCAACAAGAGAACTGACTTGAGAATCCAGGGTGAGAGCTGGGTCAAAGGTCACGCCAAGATTCCTGACAGAAGGTTTGCTGTGGGAAGCAAGCAGACCAAGAGAGTCTCTGACTTTGGGAACCAGCTTGTCTGAGGCACACGCCTTAACACGCCTTGCCTGCTGGTGGTGGTCGGATGAACCGGTGGCGCCTGTGGCAGTCTCGCTTCCGTCAGTGCGCCGCAGGGCAGCTGTGGTTACATTGTAGCTCAGCATCACCAGTGTGTGAATGTGTGGATGACTGATTGTGTTGTGAAGCGCCTTGGGGGGTTGGAGAACACTAAAAAGGTGCTATACAAATACAGGCAACTTTATTATTCTTACCTTTATTGTTTTTCTTTACACAGAAAACCCAGTTTGCCAAATATGCACATCAATGCAATATTTACATGTGTGTGTGTGTGTGTGTAGGCGATAATCCTCATAAGAGCTTATTTCATTCAGTGATGCCACTTGGGAACACAAATTGATTCAGATCCAGCAGCATGTTCACATTGTACCACCCACACTACAGCGAAGGTATGAGAATCAGAGCCAAACACGGTTGGTTATTAATGTTAAGTGAACTTACATCTTTCATGGTGTGCTGACCTGAATGTTTGGTGCACAAACTTCATCAAATTTGAAATTAAACAAATAACAACAAAAGCAGATAATTAGGATTATTGTTTAATTATTATTTGCAGTGGTCTCTAGAATGAATGGATGCCTTGGTCGTATTCGGGGGGCGGGGACACCAGGGCACCATTTCCTGGAACTAGGAGAGAGCCCCATCCCAGCCCAGCTTCAGACAGCAGGTTTTGGAGTCTTACTTCCTGATATTTGGTCATCTCGCCCTGGATTGGATAAAAGCAATGCAATTCTACCACTGACTCTGTTTGCTTTGCAACGTTGACGTTTGATCTTCACAAATAACACAAGCCTGGAGGAGCTAATGCTAATGGTTAGCTTCTACTAGCCAATATGTTCTCTGCCGTTTCCTGGTCTCTAAACCAACAACAGCCTTCCCAGTTGTGAGTTAAGATGGGTGAGTACATGAATGTTGAGTGACATTGTGACGTAGATCTGTCAGTATTTTCTAATCCTAGAGTTTCACCGTCTATTTTCTATCAGAAGTTAATGCAGGAGATAGCTGTAGGAGACTATTTTCATGTTCAGCCTGCATGAAAACTCAGGGCGACTGATTATAATCAGAAATAATCATTAAAAAATGTTTTTTCAGTGTTTCACACCTTTAAAGCTCACATTTTACTGGTGAACTGAACCAATCATCTTCATACTGACAGATTTACTCATGAACAGTTAATTTCTATAGGTAGAAATGTCAGCCGTTCACTTTCAGTTTCAGAAATCCTTTGAAAAAAGGCTGAGAACATCCTTTAAAACAAGACAAAGTTGGTTGGAAAAGCAATTTGAAGCTGAAAGACGAATCCACTTCCTACAACAATAATGAAAAATGACATTGCACGTAGAGACTCCTTGGAGAATGAAGAGATGTGAAAGTGCTCAGTGGGAGAATTGGAGAAGGAGTGAGAGGATTCGTGGGAAAGAATAAGATCCGTGCATGTGCGTAAGGACATGCATGTGTGTGCAGAGGAAAGAAAGAGTGGGTGTGTTCTCTTGGAGACAGCAGGGATGGCTTATTAGGAAATCAAACCTCTTAGCCAATGGTTTTTAAGAGAGAGGCAGATGTCATTTGACTGAGATGTACCACCTCCCAGAGCCAGCACATCCCCTTCAGTGTATGGGAGCGCTGTGTGAGAGCACCACTCTCCTCTCAGTCTGCGTTCCTCTCTCGTCATCCACGGGCTCTCTCGGCTTCCTCCCTTGCCTCCTCTTTGAGCTGCCCCCTCCCATCTACCTCTGTCTCTGTGATTCTGCCCCACGGGGAGAGATAGGATCTGTTACACACAGCGCCGGGCTGACCAAGAGCCCAGGTAAGTCCTTTTTCTCTCATTTGTTCACTTCAAACTGAGGGTCTATCACAGTGGAAAACAAAACCCCTGATTGCTCGCCTTCCAGGGTGCACAAATTGATTTCTCTGCATTTGTAGTTTCTCCTCGCCTGGTTTGCTGTGATGAATTTGAAGAGGAGCTCTGAGTGTTTTAAGGGGGACTGTGGGAACTTGTTTCATATCTTTGTGAGGGAATTGAATCATATTTTATTCTAGGTGTTTTATTTTTGTTTCCAGCAAGTTGTGTGGCACACAAAAGCTTCAGGAATGTGACTTTCTGGCTGAGACAGAGGCATGCATGAAGAGCTTTGTGGGTTATATCCTCAGCTAAAAACAGGCATTATGTGGAAAAAATAGAAACACTGGGAGGAAGAGAGACAGAAAAGGAGAAGGCATTTCATTCACCGGTCAACGCTGGTGGCAGAAAGTGAGTGAAGAGTTGCAGAAGTAGGAGCTGAAGTGTTCACACACCAGCAGGTGACACGCGGACTCTCTATTGATCTGGAACTGGCATCTTTCCAGATTTAAGCAGAAGCTAAATCCAGAGAGGCTGATCTGACAAATGTGTGCATGAAACATGGCTGGGTAGGAAGAAAAATGACAAAATGGATTAAATTGTCATCATTTTTAAATGAGGATAAGTCACAACTTTTGTTAGATTTACCTGAAAATAAAAACCGGATCAGTCAGTGGGCATGCCACGTGGTGACCGCCAATATTAGTGATTATTAGGATAAATGCACGCTCTCTAACTCCAGATTCATGGCTAAATCTGCAAACCCCTGTTCATCCTTTGACGTTTACATGAACAGAAAAAGGGACAATGCAGTGCCACATGTGAAATGCAACAGCAATCACATTACTGTCACTTAGATCACGTCTCTCGGCGGCTTCAACAACTCCGGAGCTTGGCTTTTACCACCGTGATTGATGTTTAATTATTGCCGAGTTGAAAGGTGGTCTGGCGCTGATAAGTAATCTTTGAAGTTCATCTTTAGCTAACATTTTCTCAAGGACCAATGCCCCGTCGGCCAACGTCTGTGGCATAAGAATAATCATCACGCTGATGAATTTAAATGAAATCCGAAAATAGCTCCGAGCAAAGTTGCGTTAGGTCTCATAAGTAATACAGCGGTGTGCTTATATTTCATTCATGACATAGTTTGGAGCACTCTCCTGGGCTGTGGGGAGAAATGAGAGAAATAACTTTGTGATGTGAAAAGACACTAGTTGTTGAGGTTGGAGAACATCCAGAGACACTGCGGGGGAAACATTAGCAGCAGCGGCTGAATCTGCTCTTTAATGGTGAGGACGCAGAAAACTTTCTCCCTTTTACCAGACAGGAAACAGTCCACAGCTGCTGTGAAGCCATTTGGAGGGATTCGTGTCATTTTGGTGGCTCTACAACCCACTCGGCACACATACGTGAGAAGTAATCAAATACAAAATAAAAAAACAGGATGCAGGCTTTCCAAAACCTATTAATGACACATTCCTCACTTTGAGCTGCAGAAAACGTCACCCCGGAAGATTGTTTAGGGTATATCTATAGCTGGGAGTGTGGTGTTTAATATCTTGATAGGAAACAAAGCATGATCTTATCTGGAGCAAAAAGAAGCAGCCTAAGCGACTTGCCTGACAGAGGCGCCGCCATTAACCCGGCACTCAGCCGGAGACCTGCAAAAATATCTGCAATTTGACGAAATTAGAGTCGAAAAAATGGGAGACCCGGCGCCTTTCCCGTCCACCGAGGGTTCTGGTCTGACAGCAACACTCTGTCTTTTTTCTTCCTCCCTCCGCTTGGTTGTGAGCTGCCCCAGGTGTGACAGGCAGCCGGAGTAATGGGGGACGTTTGACAGATGCATATTTCCAGCCTTGAAAGGTTCGTATAAAGAAGATAGACGGCATGGGTTCAGACTGAGCGTGGGACAAACTGTTGGGCTGTAAATCACCTCAATGAGTGTGCCACCTTCCCCTTCGATTGATCCGTCACGTGACGCTGCGACCCTTCCGACTTGCTAATTGCATCCCAACCTAATTATTGACTGAAATATAAGGTGTGTGTGTGTGTGTGTGGGTGTGTGCGTTGGATATGAGCGCCACAGTGGGTGAGGTAGGTGGTCAAGTTACCGGCTCTGTGACCCTGGTAAGCAGTGATTTGATTTCAGAAAACGCATATTTGGAATCAGAAGAAAAGCCTGAGTGGATCGTGTGTGTGTGTGTGTGTGTGTGTGTGTGTGTGTGTGTTATTTTGCAATAAAGTTAGAGACTTTTTGTTATGATTAATCATTTATTGGGTTATCAGGCCACATAACCCAGAGACAAGGCTAAGGGATTACATTACCTTTTAGACTGCAGGGTTTCTTGGCAAACAGACTTCATCTGGAATCTGTCTGTTGATTTAAAAGCCAACAAACAAAAAAAAAAAGAAGGAATTGACTTTAGTTGACAGCAGCCTCCTCTGTTCTCCCAAAGCTTTTAACGTATAATTTTCTGCACAGATTTCATTACTGCTTGTCCGTTGTGCTCTGAGGTTTATGGCAAACATTCAGATGGAGTCATAAAGTATCATCTTCTGGGACTCTGAATCGCACAAATAGCCTTTTTTTCCAGAAGTTTATGAAACATTATAAAACAAAAAATGACCGTATACACTGTAAGAAATAGAATGTTGAATTTACTTAACCAAGTTATGTCAACTGGTTCCACTATACATCATTGTTTAAATCAGGGATGCTCTAATCAGGGTTTTTGCTGCTGATTACCGAAACTGATCAACATGGGTGGACATAAATTTTCTATGTAGTCACAGACTACATCTTCATTGATTTATTATCTAGTTTGTATTTTTTGGCTTCTGTGTGTGATTTTTGCTGTTTGTAACTTGGTTTCTTTGTTGTTATTTTATTGCTGTAAAGTGTCCTTGTGTCCCTTGAAAGACTCTTTAAAATAAAATGCATTATTATTATTATTATTATTATTATTATTATTATTACATGATCTGGGGAAAAAGAAAAAAGTCACCTTAAATGGTGTGTATTAACTCATTCACTGCCAGCTGTTTCCTGATCAGAAAAGCCCTTCACTGCCAGCATTTTTCAGCATTTTCACTGTTTTTTTAAGAGTCACAGAACGTTGCGATCTATGATGTAATGAATAAAAAGGGTAAATTCCCACCATCGAATTGACACAGCATAACCTTTCATGCACGCCGGAACTGCTGGGTCAGGGTTGCTCCAGCTGGAGGATCCAGACGCACAAATCAACCCTTTTCTCACTCACTGTTCTTCAACGCAGACATAAATAAACTGTCAAGGTCTCACCAGACACAAAAGCCTTATCTCTCTTTGTTTAAAGTCAGACTGCTGGATTCATCTCTCTGAATAAAAGTGAATCAACACGAATCCGACATGACTTTGACATCTCATAAGTTAAATAATCACATGTGATGAATGAACAGGATGTCTAAATCAAATGTTTGAATAACCTGTGCTTAAATCAGTGAATTTGAAATGAGCATTGTTCTTACAATGATCCATTTACATCACAAATCACTATGTGTTGGATAGGGCTGTCGCGGTTGAGGAATTCCCCCTGCGGTGATTCAGGGTGGCTTAATATTGCGGTGTGCGATATTATTGCAGCCCTTTTTTTTATTGCAGTACTATCTAAACATAATGTTTACACATTTAAAAAAGGTTAAAAATTGCCGTGCCTTCTTTAATAACACTTTACTGAATGCAGATCAAAGGGCAGTAACAACACAGATCGCAGTAACGTTTGTTTCTGCGACAGTCGGAGTCCGACTGAACTTAAAAACAACAAAATTCAGGAGGTTAAACTTTTAAATGCAAATTTGGCTGCAGCATCTAACAAATAAGAAACAAGTCCCCATTTTGTTTAGTTGTTTAAAATCAAGCATAAAAGATTACATGTACCGCGCGCGCCGGGGGGGGGGGGGGGGGGGCACTATCATTTCACTTTCACACACACGAATGACGGTGCTTTATAGCTCGGTCACGTCCTTATTACCCACAAGGAAAACCAGCATGTTAACCATATACGGTTTGAGAGAGGATCTGAGAGGGGTGGCAACATTTCCAGCAACACTGAAAACCCTCTCGGATGGTGCGCTCGTTGCACTAACGCACACGTACCTGCGTGCGACTGGCGAGCAAAGGGAATCTCTCCCGGTTGTTGCTCCACCGTGTCACGGGGGTTCTTTAGGGTGGATGCATTCCTCCTGCAGGTAGCGAGTGAGCTCCAGCTCGGCTCAAACTCTCTTCTGGACGGTTGCAGAAGCAGTGCTTGTCCGGGACTTCAGCAGGTCTCCGAGCATTTATTTATTTATTTTTGCCGCTGGTGGCAGCTCTGTCTCGGCCAAGGACTCTGGCTGCGCAGCAGCTGACGTACGGAAAACCAAAGTGCTCCCAAAGGAGCGAAGTAACGTTTCGTTTTGATACCAGTGCAGCCATCCTTCTCAACATGCATCATTGAGTTGAACCAACTTCAGTAATCGCGGTGGCCCGTGATGCAGCGCGGTGGGCTTCTTCATATTGCGATATTTCATTTTTTGCGGTTACCGCGACAGCCCTAGTGTTTGATTTAACAAGTTAATCATTATCTACACTCACACATCTTCATAAGATACAAATAAAGGTTAAGGTTCACCTCACGTAAGTGTTTTAAGCCATTCATATTCACAGTATTAAGAATTCTGAATCTGAAGGAAGGAGTGGCTTTCTGAGGAATGTTTTGGTAAAGGCTTCCAGACATGGCGCATTCTGATTTGCCAGAATGGCCAGAAAACATAATATTGTGGTTTATTAAAACAGGATTTACTTCCCGATTCATTCAGTTTCCTGCTGAGCCCCGATTCGGCCAAATTGGGAAATAAGCCTCCTTTGAAACCAACTCCTTTGACCTTAAGTCAAAACCTTTCTGCGACGCTGCAAGTGATTACAGACACAACAGCTCTTTTCA